AAAAAAAAAAACTCACAAAGACACAAACCGCCTTCATTCACTAAATTTTCTAAATGTATTTATTATTAAATTTGATGTTAATTTTCTATTGTGTACTTAGCTGACATTCTATTTTCATACATTCTAATTTCATATTTATATTTTTAGAAACCCATGTGTGTTTGATATCGTTATCTCTTTCAATTATTTCAGTAAATACTGTATATATTATTCTTTTATGTTTTTAGTGATGCATGCCAGCACTCGTTACTTTTGAGTATAATTATTATATCTGATCATAAATCAGGAAGAATTCACAATTATTCACACGCTGTCGTTTAGATTCCAGCAGATGGCGGTGCTGCACAGATAAACGCTGCGGAGGCAAGAGAAGATTTTTACCTTTTTTGGGAGTGATGGATTTGACCTCTGTCCAGTTTCCCATCCCTCTGCTGGTCACTGCTGCCACCTGTCAATTATCACATCAACGTAAATATATATATATTTTAAATGAACGAAAAAAAAAGAACTGTGTACATATTGAAAAATACTTTTTTTTTTTTACCTTTTTTACCTTTAGTTTTCAGGACCTGTTTTTTATCTTTAATTATATTTAATTATATGTAATACTAATAAACTGAAACACTAACTGGAGTAAAGACTGAACCCAACTCACCCTGAACCTGTACAGCTTGTCCGGCTGCAGCTCCTTCACCTCAATGTTCGTGGTAAAACTTCTCTGTGACATCCATTCAACGCCTTCACGGTCACTGTACTCAACCTGGAACACAGGAGACGACTCTGACTGAAGCTGTCTGTCTCAAAGACCGGGGTCGGGGACCGCAGATGGGTCACAAAAGACGATAAAAACACACTGACATTTTTTTAATAGGTGGAATTGTTTGATAGCTTTTCAGAATCAAACCAATGAGGGCCAGAGTGTGAATAAAAGAATCAAAGTTGAAAAATAAAAATTATATGTATAATTTATTTTTTATTTTACTATCTTTAGTATCAGGTGTGATGTACTGTGTACTTAATATTTGATTTTTTTTTCATAGACTGTGAACTGATTTATTAAGAATTCCCTCTGATCCAAACCATTTACTCACAATATATACTCTGACCAGTCCGTGTCCTTTATCAGGAGGAGTCCAGGAGACCTGCACCGTCCCGTCCTCACTGTTATCACAGGAAAGCTGCAGGTTCTGAGGCGGGTCCGGTACTGATGAGACACACACACACACACACTTGTCTTAGAGATTGTGTGCCAAAGACAAGGTTGCTGCAGTAACTGAGGGAACATTCATTAAAGTCTCCGCAGCCACGGCCGCCCTGAGGATCGTCCGTTAAATTTCCTCTGTCATTAGTTTTGGAGCAGAAGTGAACGGTGCTGAAGTGTCGTTAAAGTTTGACGACTTTCTCCGTGACTGATTTTTATTCTTTAAGTGCTTTTTTTCTGCGTCCGCTGATAAATGGCGACGGGTCAGTGTCTGATAGGCCAAAGACAAATGACATCTTTTACAGAGGATTTTTTTTTACAGGGCGAGGCGTTCAGAATCAGTAAATGTGAAACGATGACGATCAGTTTTTTGGATAAAATGAAGACGCGCTACATCAACTGGCGGCGTCTGACACAGAGACCGTGGTAACACTTCATCCTGGTGTCATGGAGTCTGACCTCAGTGGAGGTGATTCCACGCTGTGACTCAGCAGTTTCTACACAACTCTAGTCCAAAAGACAGCAGATAAATCCAGAGCTGTGGAGAAATACAAGTGTTGGACATGAAGGACGTACTGTGACGGGAGAAGGGGACGACGCTGACATTATGTTAATGCATGTGGTTCCCAAAATAGGGGTCGGGTCCTTCTTAGGAGGCACAGAGCTATTAAAGGACATTGGAGCAAGGCCTGAATATTTTGTTTAATTCCTTCCTCACAGGAGAAATTTTTAATTTTTACTTAGTTTTGTAGGAATTACAGTATTATTTTTTTAATGCACTGATGCACGTGGGGCTTTACAGTCCTCAAGGGGGGGCTATGCAGAAAAGGATTGGCAGCTATTGCTAATGTGAGATGGATTTTTATTTTCTATTTTTTTTGGCAGATTTTTTTTGTGTCTCAGCTACAGCAGTGACGGACAGGAAGACAGAACTGAACGGACCAATCACGGCTCATGTCTGTTGATAGGTCATTTCACTGTCGTGGATGATTTGTCTCCATCTCTGACAAACAATGTCAGTGCTGGCTTGATGTTGTTTTTTTTTTCATATTTGATCAGAAGAAGCCGATCACACACACACACACCAAAGACATGGACTGGTGTGTTCAGGACACTGACCTCCCTCTGGGGTCCTGATGGCGACCACCTCGTTGGTTTTGTGCACCTTACTGAGGCACTGAGTCAGCACCTTCGCCTGGTAGGTGGCGTCTGGCTTCAGCACCGTCAGTTTGTAGCTGGTCTTGTTGCTGTGGGTGTCCATGATGGTCCACTGCTGCACACCCATCAGTCTGAGAGAGAGAGAGAGAGAGAGAGAGAGAGAGAGGCAACAACAACAGTAATGAGGCGTGAAGACACAAGGTGGCGATGCAGGTGGAGGTGCAGCCACAGTGACGGTCGGACTGTTACCTGTAGTAGACCAGGAAGTAGCAGGAATCCAGGGGGAGGTTCTTAGGGCGAGACCAGGTCAGGGTAACGGCGCCTTGGACATCTGGTGTCCACTGGAGGTTCTGGACTTTATACACCAGGGCGTCCACTGGTGAAGAAGACGTTAATAAACAATAGCCGTTAGAGGGCGGTAGAGACACAGAGAAAAAAAATGAGATAGTTTACAGCTTTATGTTTGGGAGTTGAAATCATGTTGACCACTAGAGGGAAGCATTGTACCACTTTTAAACTACAGAGCCACGAGCGGTTGACTCACATTGATCTGAATTTCTTTAATGAACTTTTTCACATTTTTTAAAACGTTTTTATCACAACGTTTTTAAAGTTTGTACAGTACATTTAACCTAATTCATTTTTAAGTATAAAACAACAAAAAACAGAAAATTCTAATTGTTTGGAACCGAGATGATTATTGAACACATCAAAATAAAAACAACCATTTAGTTGTTGTTTGATTTATAAAATATTGTTTATATATCATATATATGTTTAAAACCCTAATCCACTAGGGGGCAGAATACATGTATCAGATCATATACACAAGGTTTAAAAGGTAATAATTGATCATGTTAATGAGCTTTAGATCCAGAATCTTGTACAGAATTTTGATTATGAAGGTTGAGATGATCAAAAATTAATTTATTAATTTACAAATAACTTTTTTTTTACACATGAGGTGAGAGTGGGAGTTGGTCGGACCTACCGGTGCAGTTGTCCTCGTCACTGTGGTCAGAACAGTCCAGGAAGCCGTCGCACCTCTCGCTGTCCTGAATGCAGGCTTCGCCGTCAGAACAGCGGGATCCGTTCACACAGACGAGGAGACCGCGGGTGGCTGAACAGCACAGAGGGCAGAGAACGCAAACAACATTTTTACCATCTGCAGTTTTAAAGGATTCATGATGTGTACGTGCTTCAAACACGGCTTTTACTGAAGTTCCCACAGAAGAACTTTGATATTTTTAAAGACAACGATGAGATCAATGACATCACACATTTCCGTCTGTGTCTCCTATTCAGTGGAGACACAGATCTGGTGTAGAAATATTTGAGAGCGATCATAAATCATCGGTCCCACAGAGCTGCTGCGGCTCGGCCAGACTCCCAGCAGGTCTGGTGTCAGTGTCCTTCTGGTCTGGATCTGGAGTTTCTCTGTTGAGTTCATGTCTGACTTCATGAGAGCGGATTCCCTTTTATTTATTATTATTTTTTTTTTTTAGCCTAAAGTCGTTCTGTAGAAGACTGAGTTCAGAGGAAGAGTCTGGAACAAACTGCATCCAAACCCACTCCTCCCAACATCCAGCTGCAGACCCTCTGGCTGTACTGTACACTGCACCACAGGGTGACAGATGTTGCCATCAAACAGTTTAATGTGAATTTAATTTCAAAGTTAAATTTAAACATAAATCAAGCTGACTGTAGGTCTTTAGCGACATTAGCCTAGCATCATACTCCTGTCATGTTTTATGGTTGGACACTCAGGCGAACAGGGACTTGTTTTCCTGACTGTGAAGGTGATGATAGTTCACATCACAGCGTTGCCATGACATCAGCTGATGGAGATGGTGTAAAAATCCTTCATGAGTGACTGTGAATCACCGGCATCTCTGGTTAGTGTGTCTATAACTGATGATTTTATAATAATGATTCACTTTAACTCTCCGTGACGTCATCACTGTAGTGGTTGAAATAGACGTCTTTTCCTAAGAGAAAATCATTTCTAAAATATTTGTTGAACGTTGGGAGAGTTTTACCCCCTGAGAAACACACTTCACGTGAATAACTTCTACGTGTGTGTGTGTCTCAAACTGAAAACATTTTCGTGATGACATTTAATTTCCCTTTATATTTTATCAAATCTACATTTGAAGTGTTTCGGGTTCAAACTTACGACAGTGCATTTCGTCCGAGCCGTCCTCACAGTGGACCTGTCCGTCGCAGCGCTGCCAGTCGGGGATGCAGCGAGGAGGACGGCGACACAGGAACTGACCTCGACTGCACCGACCAGGGACGGGAGGAGGAGCCTGTGTGACCACTGGAGGCAGCGTTACGGTTCCATTCACTGCTGTTGGTAATGTAGAGTAAAGCAGGGAGCGTTAGTAAATGTCTGACATTAACGTCGCTGCATATTAGAACGACAGGGTGTTAAAATGACACTGAAATGAATGTATTAATTATATTAATTTGTTTTCATCATTTATGCATATTTGTTTGGTTTGATTTGAATTAAACTTTTGCATAATTTTCTTGACATTTCTCACAGTAATAGTTCCATCATTTGGATTGGTTACAAATAAAAATGAAACACAAACATCTACCTGCTGTTTACCTTAAATACTCATTAATGCTAACAACCGTGATTATTCATGATTAATCCACTGCTACACTGTGATTAATTTGATTAAAAATGTAAATTGATTGACTGTTAAAGTAGAACATCCATAATTATTAGATAAAATAACACTGTTTCACATTTTTGTCTCAAAACAAAGGATGTTTTTCTTTTCAGACATATTTTCAGTTTCTGAGCAGCGCAGCTCGTTTTGAAGGACAAAGAATTCGACCCAAAAAAAACTCCACGAAACAAATTACTGCAGCAAGAAAGGAATGAGATTATTGATTTAAAACAAAAACACAATTATCAACCCTGTAAATAGAGTTTACAGAGCTGCGTTTTCTTGCTCTCCACAGCTGTTTGTTTCATTTATTTAGTCCTGAGAAACGTGACGGAGGGAGGACGTTCTTCTGCTCACTGAACGGCCAACAGCCAGTCGTACCTGTGGGACAGCCCAGCTCGTCGCTGCCGTCAGGACAGTCGGTGTAACCGTCACACACCCAGGTGTTGATGATACAAGCGCCAGAGCCACAGTGGAAACGATTGGGGGCGCAGGTGGAGGGGCCGGGGGACGCAGTGTGGGGGGTAACACCACCTGAGAGAGAGCGGGGGAGACAGACAGAGAGAGGGAGAGAGAGAGTCAAGTGAAGGTGCAAACATGGCTGCCGATCTGGGTCCAACCTCCATATTAGTATGGGCTACTGTACCAGTACACTGGGACTCGTCAGACCAGTCGCCACAGTCGTTCTCCCCGTCACACTTCCACCATGTTGGAATGCAGCGTCCGTTCTTACACTCGTACTGGAAATATCTGGAGCAGCCTGGAACCTCGGTGGGAGCAGCTGGAGAAGAGGAAACACGGTAAACGACTGGACTTGGTTTTGTTTTAAGAAGACGTTTCTCTCTCATCCAAGAGAGAGAAGAGAAGAGATGAGTAACAAACACTATTGTTATTGTTATTCCTTATGTAACTGGTGTTTCTGGAAAAAAATAGGATATAGTTCGGATTTTCAACCAACACCAAATCCCAGTCGACTTTAAACGCAGCAACAACATCACTTCATCCCCAAAAGGGAATTGAAAAGGATTCATATTTAATTAAATATTTAACAGGACATCACTAATATGACATATTTGTGCATTTTTCCAGCGGGCCCTATTGAACACCCGGACGGCCTGGTTTTGGCCCGCGGGCCCTATGTTTGACACCGCTGGTGGGAGTGCATGAAAAACACAGGAGAGACAGCTCTTCTGGGCTCAATCAACCTTGACCTGGAGAAACCACCAGACAACAGAGGCGTTTATTTGCCACACACACACACACACACACACACACTCGTTGACATGGCAACGTGTTGAAATAAACAGATGCTGACGTGAGCGGTGTGTTGGTTCCTTACCACAGTTGGCCTCGTCAGAATAATCTCCACAGTCGTCCATGCCGTCGCACTTCCACTCCAGGCTCACACACACTCCGTTGGCGCACTGGAATGTGTAGGCATCACACACTTTTCCAAACTCGGACGGTGTGGCTGGCACAAAAAACACACAACACAAAAATGAGTCTTTACCAAGAATGAATAAGTCAGGAGATAAAGTTCTGTTCCCATAACAGTTGGCTGAATCTCACACAAGGAGTTGGAGAAAAGGTAAATAAAAAAAAATAAAAAAAATATAAAAGGTGTAAATGTGACACTTTGGGAAAACTGTTTTTTTTTTTTTTTTGGTTTTATGAATATCTTCCGTGTACTTCAGAGGTAGGATCACATGTTTTAACAACTCAGGCTGAAACAGGAAATAATAGATTCACAGACGGTGTTTGTGTCAGAGCTGACTACATTTGGGGAAATTAAACTGCAAAAAAAAAAAAAATGAATTTGATAAAATAGAAAACACTTCTTTTGAATGTTATGCATTGAAAAAAATATTCATCTCATTTTAGAGAAATACAGATGAGCTTTTCTCTACGACACAGTCCAGTTCATCCTGAGTGAAAATTCACTAAAAAAAAAAAAAAAAAAAAAAGGTGACATTTCAGTCTCGTGTGAAGTGTTTTTTCTGTCTTTTAGACGTTGGATTTTTTAGTAATTTTTTTAATACAAAATTAACTGCATTGAGTTGGGAATACTTTGTGTGTTTCTAGTCACAAACAACAATAAATGGTCATTGGTCTGGGTTCAAGGAACTGAAACATAATCTCATGAAACGAAGCTAAAAAAAAAAAAGAATGTTTATGTGTTAATACACTCAAAAAAAAAACCTCACCTCACCACAAAAACAAATCTCTGCTGACTGGACTGGGTGTGTGGCCACACCAGTGCAGTGTAAACACACACTTTTCTGTTCAAACCGTTTTAGCCATGTTGTTATTTTAGCTCAGCTGACACTGGCATAGTCAGAGTTTCTTTTTTTTTTTTTTTTTTTTTTTAATGTAGTGCAGATATAAATCCTTTGTCTCGTTCAAGAAAAACGATCCTGAGGATGATTCATGTACATGAAGTGTGCGGCTTTAAATCACGCTGAACCTGTCCTCAGGTCTGCTTTTCTATAATGACTGGACGATGGATCATAAAGTGCTATAATCTGTGATTTAGAGGAGAAGAGATTAATGGATTGAGGTGGTCGACGGTGCGGTGTGGCAGTGTGGGCTTCTCACCACAGCCGGCGTACTCGGCGTCCTCATCTGAACCGTCCTCGCAGTGTTTGATTCCATCGCAGACCAGAGACTGAAACAGGCACTGGGCTCGGTTCTTGCAGACAAACTCCATGTAACGGGTGCAGAGAGGGTCTGTGGGTGGAGGAGCAAATATCAACACACACTTTTATATCATTTGACACATTTTAGTGTCCGGCTCAGACCAGGACGGTGAATGCCGATGCCTTTGTTCCTCTTCCTGTATTGGCGCTGAACAAAAGCAAGCACCTACCACAGTTCTGCTCATCGGCGCCATCTGGACACTCTTTGATGCCGTTGCAGTGGACAGTTGCGGGTAGGCAGGTGTCATTGGAGCAGAGGAAGCCTTTGCACCGAGTTCCTTCTGAAAACACAAATGATAACAGGTCTATTCTCACAGTTCACAGTATATACATTACCCTGCATTATACACAGTATTTCAGTCGTGAATATTACACAGTACTGCAGTGTACAATATACAGTACCTCTACATGTAAAAAAACAGTCTGGAGTCTGGACCTTGACTTTATAACCACACTGTCAGATGTTTCTCCAGCTTTAACAAATGTTTCCTCTCCCTAGTGCAACCACAAGGGGGCGTGACCTCCATGGGTTCCTACATTTATTCTTAAGTGATCATAAAACTAGGCTTTTACGACTTTAAGTAAAAAAAAAAAAAAAGGAAGATGAAAAACGTCTATCACTTTCATAATGAAGTGCTTTGTAAAATCAGGATTTATGCTCCTCCGTCTGTGCAGCTATTTCTAAAGGCAGGTGGAGTTTGTGGAGTCAGTGGAAAACATCTAGCAAAGCAATGACGCTGCAAACGCACGAACTGTGACTGATGCTGGGTACGAAGGACTCCGACGCTGAGGCTCCACGGCGACAGGCTAGGAGACAGAATGCTGACGTGAATCCCGGTCCATAAATTTACCTCTAGGTCACTGTCACTCTGTGGAGCTAAATTAAGTTACAGTGAAAAATGTAAAGTCTCCCAAAACCTAATCACGTACAGCGCAGTAGTTTAAACTGATCTTGAAGTATAAAATATAAAGTACATGAGGTCGCAGTATTTTGCGGTATCATCGGTCTGACACGCATACGAGCCTCAGTTTGGGCGGCCAATCAGAGCTTAACTTCAACATAACTGTTGAAACTGTTTGGGCCCCGACGCAGACTGTGTCTTAATTTACGGTCCTATTGAACCTTGGTCTAACACAGACATGGGCAAACTATGGCTGGTGGACCAGATACGGCCCGTTGGGCTTTCTAATCTGGCCCACCAAACAGAATGAAACCTTTAAGTCCAGACCTGCGTCTCTTTAGGCCTCCACAAACAGAATGAAACCTTTAAGTCCAGACTTGGAGAACTCCACCGTCCGACTCCGGCTGACTCACCACAGTATCGAGGGTCTTCATCTGAATCATCCTGACAATCGTCATCTCCGTCACACATCCAGCGCTGCGGTATACAGTGACCTGTGTGACACTGGAAGCTGCTGGCCTCACAGGTGTGATGTCCCACTGGGGACGGGGAGACAGAGTGATTGTTAGGTTTAAAAGTTACCACAAACGAACCCGTGGGTCAGTCTTTTTAAAGCAGCCTTCTGAAGTGTTCACCTGTGCAGTTGGCTTCGTCTGACCAGTCTCTGCAGTCGTTGTCTCCATCACACCTCCATGCCTCACGGATACACACTCCCCGAGCGCATGTGAAGTCTCCAGGGCCACACTGATGAGACTCTGAGAGAAATAGAAAAAAAAAACTGAATCAGGTGTAACAAAAAAAAAAAAAACTCCTGCTGGAAATGGAGTGAGAGTGTCTCCACAAAATTAGTCCAGAAAACTACACTGATCCTCAAGGTGAATAATAACCAGAGCTGACCTGAAGAAAACAGTACTGCAGTTTAAAAATATCAATACGATAGACCATGTCAACAAAGCAGCAATCATTCAGGTCAGATGCCCCGGTCACGGTAGGAAATACATCAACGACTGACAAGTTAAAAAGGGACTGTTAGGCTACGGTCCCTAAAAGATTCATATTCTGTAGAACTACATATATATTTATATACAATATATATATATACATAGATATTAAATACATATATACATATATATATTTTTTTGCAAATATTTCTTAACATTTTTTCCATATTAAGTCACAAAGTCAACGTGTGAAACACATGCAACAACCTGCTGTTATTTGAGTTTCTGTTCCAGCAATATACAGAAGAATATATACAGTAAATATATTGACATATTATATAACATAATTGACACAATATTCAGATTAACTGTGATTTGTCATGATTAATCTGCTGCCACCATGTGATCCTCACACCAGAGTGGTTTGATTCACCTGAACCTGTTCTTCAGCACACGTTTCAACTCTATAATTACCCCACGGAGTTCAACTTCTCACCCTCCGTCATGTGCCTTCTACCCTCGGCAGTTTTCACGCACACGTCGTCCTTCAGTCTTGGCACGAGGTTTTAAATCGAGAAGTGTATTTGTATTTTTCACACCTTCTTACATAACCACTTTATTTAAACTGCGTTCTGTTCATCATTACTGCTAACAGTCTGTCGACGCCTCCGACACATATTGCTGTAAATAAAAAAACAAAACGAAGCAGAGGCGTTTCCTACCGCAGTGTTCTTCATCGCTGTTGTCTCCACAGTCGTCTTCATGATCGCATTTGAAGGCCAGGGGAATGCAGGACCCTGAGGCCACACAGCGGAACTGGTTGGACGGGTCACACATGGTAGTGGCTGTGAGTGGACAGAACACAGGAGGGTGGTTTAACCCAGATTAACAGAATGGAATTCTGACACCGTGAGGCCAGTGACGGTGCGGATCACGTACGACACTCCTGCTCATCGCTCATGTCTCCACAGTCGTTGTCGCTGTCGCACTTCCAGATGCTGCTGATGCAGCGACCGTTGGAGCAGCGGTACTGGTTGGGCAGGCAGCTGTGTTCTGGTTGGAGGAAAAAAAAAAACAAAACAAAAAAACAGAGCTGAATCTTTGCAAATTGTCTCAGAGCAGAGGATCTTCTAGACTCCCACAGGTCAAGTCCTCGTCTCACCAGTCTTCACGCAGGTGTTGTTCTCTAGCTGGTAACCTTTCGGACACTGACACTGCAGCTCACCGTCGGGCAGGGCTACAGTCGGAGCACCGTCAGGGCATACACAGGTGTGTCGGTGGCCCGGCTGGGGCAGACAGAGGAGGCTGCAGGGCTGGTCGGCACAGGCGTTATGACCTGGGGGGGAGGGGGTTAAGGACGGGTTAGAGCCCAAAACAGGACCAAGAACAGAACCATCTCTCTAACCCTCTCCTTTACCTCGATTCTTCCCCTTGTAGAAGATCTTCAGGTCCATGACTCCAGTCAGTCGTCCGACGATCAGCTCGTTGTTCTGAGAACCGGCTTTTGGAGCTTTAAAGATTCCCATCCTGGACCAGTCATCCCAGTAAAGGTCATTCTAAAAAAAAAAGAAGATCCATTATTTTGGTGACAAAAAAAATTAAATCTGAAGTTTGATGGAAAATTAATTATATAATATATAGTAATATATACACATATATACATATACAAATATATACATAAATACATATATATATATATATATACACACATATATACATATATATATATATATACACACATATATACATACATAT